ATACTGTTGGTCTTGTGGGCACTCTGTAACATTTGGAATGATTCGGCGTTCGATACCTCCCTTCGATCCTGTGTTACTCGCTCGTTAATGAACGTTGCGAATCCGAAGTGGTTCGCGAGTAGCGCCGTCTGAACGTAACCGAAGTCTCCGTTCATGTATGCTTGCTCGCACAGATCGTTGAATCGATTCGGGTCCATGTTGACCCATGCATCTCTGTCTGCCGGCACATTGAGATTAACTGGCGGGTCGCCCTGTCCAGGTCTTGCTGCAGCTGCCGCTGCCGCTGCCATGGCAACCGCGCTCCGCTACCATGCAAAACCCCGAGGAGGGTTCTGCACGGGAGCTTGGCGACAATGATAACGATGGGTCACCTTTATACTCCCGAACGGCAAAGCAGGTCTATGTAGCTTCGACCGTTAAACACTTGAGCCAAAGGCAGCAGGGTTACTATTCCTCCCCTGTCACACGCATGCTTGCATGTTAACACCTCCTCCTCCTCCTCCTCCTCCTCCTCCCCCTCCTCCTTCTCTTCTCCTCCTCGTCATCATTCCCCCTGAATCCTCTCCTCCCCCCTGTCCTCCTCATCCCACCTTCCTCGTGCGTCGTCATCAGCATCCCTCTTTCTCCTCGCGCCGTGTAGAAGAAGGCGCTGGGCAGTGTTCATCAGCCTCGAAGAACTCTTGTCAGAGGCCCCGGGACTATGACAAAACACAGCACGGCATGAAACACCAGTCCTGGAATTCGTGACGAGAACTCGGGGGCGGGGGCACGCTGTGAGGACATCACAAAGTTAGGGAAGGCGAAGGAGGAGGAGGAGGAGGAGGAGGAGGAGGAGGAGCGGGGGAGAGGAGGAGGAGGGGGAGGAGAAACACGAGGAAAGGAGGAGGGGGAGGTAAGGGAGAAAGACAAGCTAGGTGCGCAAGTGCCATATCAGACGTCCTAGCTCTCCCTCCCAGCCCTTACCATTGCGCAGACCTCCTCTTCATTCGCACAGTGCGTTGTCGCGTCGAGAACGCGACTCATGGCGAAACCTGGGTCAGAATGAAACAGGAAATGGCACAAGACGGGAAATTCAAATGGACGGTTTGGAAAGCGGAAAGCGCAACATGAGATCAACGCTGCAGCGGGAACACGAATTCGAAGGACCGATCACGCGGCAATGAAGCCAGCGCTGCCGTGTGAGCACGAATTGGAAGGATTGGAAGCGCGGAACCGAAGCAAGCGCTGCAGCAACAACACGATTTGAAAGAACCGAAACAATGAAATGAGGTCAGCGCTGCAACGGGCACATTATTCAGAAGGACTGAGAAATGGAACATGGAGCCAACGCTGTAGTAGGAGCGCCATTCTGAACGGACTGAAAACGTTCGGAAGGCGGCGTGCAGTGAACAACAAAAACAACGATACGCGGAGGAGGCCAGGACACCTCACCAGCGGCTTCGGGGGAGAGAGGAGAGTAGTACTCATCTTGTGCAATTGTCTACGAGGGGGGCGGAGGAGGAAGAGAAGGAGCTCCTCCCCCTCTCTCTCAAGTCCCTCCCTCTGCTGCTCCTGCTCGTTCTCCGCGCCCCAAGACTAGAATGGCCAATCGACACCACATCGACGCTAATCGTCGCTAAATCTACGCTAATCGACGCGAACCGACGCTAAATCGGCGCTATATTATCGACTCTCAGACCGTAATCGACGCCAAAGACGGAATTAAGAGGGTATGCCAGGTTCCCATGGTTTGCCACCGAAGGGGGAGGGAAGGGACTGGGGAGGCAGCTCCTCTCAGACGTCCTCGTCGTCAAAGTCGTCGCCGAAGTCCTGCCGAGGATCGCGCCCCCCTCCAGCAGACGGAGTGCGCCGAGGAAGTGCGCGGCGGTCCCAAAGCGACGTTTGCGAGAGGCTCGCGGGGCCGACAGACGGGACGCGCGCGGAGGCAGCTCAGGTGAAACGATAGGAGTGCATTTTCATACGCGGCCATAACGGGCGTTATGGGGGGGAGGGGGGGGGGACGGGAGGGGGGCATACCGTACCCCTCCAGACTAGTGCAAGACGCACTGCGGAAGTGCAGGGGACGCGCTGAGGAGGGGAGCGCTATGTTGAGTATGAGGGGGGAAATACATCGAGGGAAAATTAAAGCGGGGGACGAGGATAAAATCGGGGGGGATACATCGACAATCTCTGAGAGCCAGCGGCCCTGGAAGGTGTCTCGGGCGCCGCGGCCTCCTCAGAGCGTTCCCGAACGCTCTGAGAGCATTCCAGACAGCTCTGGAACGGATTCGTCCTCGTCCCATCCCCGTGCGATAGCTGAGTCATTCATTAGGGCAACCAACGAAGAATAACAAGAGAATGCCCCCCCCCTGGCGGCGCCTCTGGCGCGCTCCGCGCGCCAATGAGGGGGGTCGGGTCCAGCGCCGATCCTGGGAGTCCGCGCGAAACTCCGAGCTTTTGTGATTGTGCCATTCTTCGTTTCTATCTTCGCGCGAAGCGCGGAAATCTTCGCGTCCTGGAAAGCCATCCCCCCAAACGGAAGGGGCAGAAGCTCGACCTTTTCACTGGCAGGCGCAGTGCTTTCCTCGAGCCCCCGCGGGTGGCCGTGGGTGCACCAGCGGCCGCGGGGGAGGGGCGCAGCTCCTCTTCACCCTTCGCCCAGTCTTCGAGAAGATGGTCGACTACAGAATAGATTTGTTCCATCGTCCATTTCCCCGCCGAATATGTGAAACAACACGCAGAGTGTTCGTAGACCTACCGGGCATTATACGCATGTTCCGTAGTTTCGGAGCGAAGCTCAATTTCGGGGTCAATCAAATGCAGTCGATACCCATATTCGATTTCGGGCTGCATCGGCGACGGCTTTTCACCTGTCGTCACGGGGGGCGGCGACCATCAGGTGAGAAAACAGGGAGGAGTGAAGGGGGGCCTGTGGAGTACCTCCCCTTCCTCCTGCTTCTGCTGCTCCTGCTACCGATCCTCCTCCTTCTCCTCCTCCCGCTCCTGCTAGTCCTCATCACCGTTCTCGTCCTCCGCGCGCTGCTCCTAACACTAGCCGTTCCCCCTCTCCTTTGCTCTCATGATCCTCCTCCTCCTCCTCCTCCAGCTCCTGCTTCTCGAACTCCTCATCCGCCTGATGTCCTCCTCCTCCTCCCCCTAGCCCTCACCCTCATCCTTATCCTCCCCCTTCTCCTGATCCTCCTTGCATCCTCCCCCTCGTCCTCCTCCGCAACATCCACATCCTCCCGCGTGGTGGTCCTGCTCCTCCTCCTCCTCGTTATCCTCACCAGCCTCCTACTATTCATGCGTTTGCTCCTGATGCCCCTTCTACCTACCATCTTTACGAACTGGTCGTGTGGTTGACCGCAAGGGCGAAGTCCCAAGGTTTCTGCCTGGGGAGGCTTCGTGCATGTGGCAATTTCCCCCACAGCAGCGTCCTGCCCTCCGCAGGGGTGGTTGAAGTGTGGCTGCTCTCGGCTCTGGTGGTGCGCCATCGCTTTTGCTTTCATCAGGCTGCTCCCGCTGCGGCATGAGATGCAGATAACATTCGCAATTGCGCGGGAAGCTCTGATGGCGCTGCAGATCCGCGGCACCATCCACATGCACCGATTGCATCGATGGCACGAACCGCATGGCGGTCGGCATCGGTTCTGGCACCCAGTCGGTGAGCTCGATGGCCCAGACGACGACGGCGTCAGCCTGGCATCGGTCAATGCTCACGCTGCCCAGGCGGAGCGGCGGGCCGTGGGGCTTCTCCTTTTCGATGGGAAAGCCCTGCTGATATGTGTGTCAAGCGTGTGGGGAAACCAAAAGGTGCCGATACCGCGACTCCCCGGACATCTGCTGGGGTGCGCTCTGAACGCAGTTTCGAGGCGAATCCAGCGGTGGCGACGAGGGCCTCCCAGGAAGCCCTAAAAAAGGGGAAGCGAGGGAAGGGTAGCGGTATTGGTGCCCTCTTGCTCCTCTGAGCCGAGATGTTTGTCGAGCGTGGGGCTGCTGGCTTGAAGGCATCCGCAGTGGCAGCGGCAGCCCATGCGCTCGGAGGAGCATTCCAGGACGCCTCTCCGTGCATGATCTGCTTGGATCTCGTGCTCGGCTCGGCGTGCGGACCCGCAAGTCGAGGGCACCAACAATACCGAACTCGGCGGCGCTCTCGGGGGGGGAGACTCAGGGGGCGCGCCTCCTTTCGAGTATGGGATCGATTACAGGACATTATTTCTTCGTCGAATCAATAAGTAAGCACATACAAGGTTGTCTTGTGTTTTGTTCGTTAATGCGAAGACAACAATTCTGTTCTCGATCTCCTACTCAATCCTCAGACGCCGCAGAAGCCCTCCCCCTCCGGCCTTCTGAGAAGCTCTCCAAGCCTTCTCCGAGGCCCAGCCGCCTTCTGTGAAAGCCTGCCCCCGGTCACATCCTGCGAAGAAACGGAGGTTCCGATACCACTACTGCCCAGACCTCTCCTGGGTATGTTCTGACCAGAATTTCGAGGCGGACCCAGCCTTTGCGACGAGGGCCTCCCAGACTCCCAGGAGGCCCAAGACGGCGAAAACGAGGCAAGGGTAGCGGTGGCGGTACCACTTCCTCCTCTGCGCTTCCCCCCGACGCGCCGCCGATTCCGGGACACCAATACTGCTAGGAACATCGGCCTCACGATACCTGGCGGGCCCACGGCCATGCCCAAGGCCGGAAGTGCGCACTCTGGACGGAATCTCAAGGGGCCGTGGCCACGACGAGGCTCCCTGGAGGTCCGAAGACACCACAAAAACCGCTGCCGCCGAGAACCGTCACCCGGGGGGGGGGAATTGTTGGATGGCGCTCGGGCGTGTCCAGAAGAAGAACAGAAACGCCAGAAACAATATTTTGGCGCTCCGCGCGAGTCCGCGCGGGTTTCTTGGATCTGCGCTCGACCCCCCTCCGTGGCGCGCGGCGCGCGCCAGGGGCGGGCGCCGCCGGGGAGCCCCAGCGTGGATCCAAGAAATCCGCGCGGAACGACTTCCGCTTATGTTTATGGCGTGTTTTCGTCTTCGAACTCGGGCGTGCCTTAAAAATGAAAGCTGCATGAGCATCATGTTTTTTTTTACTTTGCCTGTATGGGCAGTGACAGGTCATAGCTCGTGAGGAGCTGGGTCGGACCTCGACGTTGCCCCCACAGTCCATCCTGAAACATTCCAGGCGTCTACTGAGCTGGACGGCCCACAAACTCTCAGAGAGTGCGTGCCTGCATAACGCTCGTGAGGAGCTGGGTCGGGCCTCGACGTTGCCCCCACAGGCCATCCTGAAACAATCCAGGCGTCTACTGAGCTGGACGGCCCACACACTCTCAGAGAGTGCGTGCCTGCATAACTCATGTCCGCTCTGCCATCGTCGCCCTGTCAAATGTAGAACAACTGCCACCTCTTAAAATCATAAAAAATGCCAAGCGGAACCTAACAATGTGCCACTCAAGGGTCTGATTCAAGAGACCAAGCGCGGACACGTGGCGCGGGCCGTAATTACGCATTCATCTCGCAATGATCGCCTCATTCTCGCAAAGATGTGCGCCCTGTGCTGGTGCTTCGAGCTCGAGCACGGCGACGAATGTGAACGCTGACACTGCCAGCGCGCTGTTGGTAGGAGGGAGGAGGCCGCGGAACATAATGCAATTGCGGGCATGCATGAAGATACTCGCTAGCCGCACGGATGCCAATCCGTGATGGAACACTTGCCGGTCTGGAGCTACACGCTCACCGTAGCGGGCGCCGACACGCTGCAATTAGACCTCCAACGAGTTCAGATGCAAACCTGAAGTTCTCACAGGCCATGCATGTTTACTTCACAACGCGTGAACAGTGGGTGAACATGTGCACGGAAGCGGCTGCCTTCAGCACGCCGCCCAAAACAGCTCCAAGTGGGTACCCACGCGGGAAGCCCGAACGAGCAATTCGAACCGTCGGCCCCGAGAAAAACGGGCTTCGGCATAGGCACCTTTCCCTGCTCTGACCACCGGCCCTCGGCCGACGCCGTGGCTAACACTGGGGCGGCACCGACCGCGCTCGGGCCATCCGTGGGCTCGCGTCCTGCTCCGGGGCAGCGCGGCCGTGCGGGCCGGCGCCCAGGCCCGCGGAGTACACCGCCATCGACCTCGCGTCCTGCGGCGACCCCGCCCCTGGCCCCGCGACCAGGACCATGTGCCGCTCGGGCTGCTGCACCGCCAGGTGCGCCCAGCCGAGCGCGCTCCCCGCCTCTGGCTGCCGCGACACCTCCTTGACAGCGACGGGCGCCGTCGCCACCCTGTGCACCACCACGCGATCGACTCCTGGGGACAAGTCCGCAGCCCGAACCACCTCTCTCCGGTCTGCAGGCTGCACTGGTTGGTCCGCAGTCATCGCCAGCTGCGTTCCGTCGTCGAGGCCGACGTTGATCCACGCAGCGGCCAGGAACTTGACGTGCATCTCGAGTACCTGGGCGTATCTGATCGACCGCCCCAGCGAGTCGTAGCACAGCACCCGCTGACCTTGCTCGAGGTCCCGGAGCAGGCAGGAGCCAGCCTGGCCCTCGACCCACACGCTGGCCTCCAGCGGTAGGCCGCCCAGCCCCTGCGAGACGGCGCCCTGGCCGGGCCGCGCGGCCTCCGAGACGGCGGGCTCGCTGGAGGCGTAGCGCGGGGAGTCCGGGCGGAGCGGCGCAGCGGCGCCGCCGGGCACATGCGACGAGGCCGCCGCGAAGGAGCTGCCCAGCTCCGCCACGAGGTCCGCGCGGTCCTGCAGGCACTCCAGGGAGAACTCGGCCTGGACGCGCATGCCCTTCTCCCTCAGATACGACAGGTGGAGCAGGCGGGCCTGGATCTCGGAGCTCCGCTTCCCGCTGCACATCACCAGCACGATGCAGGTGAAGAAGAGCAGGTTAGTGGTTACCATCGTCATGTCTGGGCTGCCGAGGAGGTAGGCTGCGGCCGCATACCCGAGCACGGATGCCAACGCAATGGGCACAAACAACTTCCATCTGACCATCACGCCTGACCCTGCGACACACAAAATGAGTCCCAACAAGAACGGGGCGTCTGTGCCGGAAAGGTCCACCCCATACACAGCACTCGGATCTTCGTAGCCGAACGCCCGTGCAAGGTAATGTCTTATGTTGATGCATGTGTGAACCTCGGACACTATTATAACAACAACAGCCCAAGCTTCCATGCCACGTGTTCTTATCAGGCCGTGGCCCGACAATGCGATGGCTGCGAGCAGCACCGACAGTTCAACGCTGTAGCACGCAACCTGCAGAGCCACCTGCAACATCTTCAAAAAGTATGCTTCCTGCATCTGGTTCCCGTGCTCCGCGACACCAGACGTATGGTAGTACACCGCAGAAGCCGCACCGCATAAAACGACGACGACCACGCGCCGAAAAGACGAACGCAACTGCTCGCGGCTGCTACTCAGGAAACCGCACTCCACCCGCGGGTCCGCGAACGAGAGCGTCCAACCATCGATCTCGCCGTCTGGTCCCAACCTCTGGGCCGCCCGTGCGAGCCCGCGCCGCAGCCTGCGCACAGCGGCCCGCCACGGTGGCGTCCCAGCATCCATGGGCTGGCCGCGGCGGCCTTCCGAGATCTGCGAGGTCCACTCCTTGGAGCGAAAACGGCTTGAGCCAAAATGGCTACGGAAAGCTGCATGAGCATAAACTGTCCGAGGTTCGCACAGCTGTCTTGGATCAACGCTGTTCGATGGTCGGCGTTTCCCCTCTGAGTGCCCGGATCCTGCAACCCCAGGACGGGGGGGCCTTGTCGTGAGCTCCGCTGCCATCTGAGAAGGCATGCTCCCTCGCACTTCTCGGGAGGTGAAAGGTACCGATGCCGCCACTTCCGGGACATCCTCTCTCGGGGTGCGTTCGGACCCGAATTTTGGGGCCCATTCGGCTGTGGCGACGAGGGCCTCCCCGGGAGACCCCAGAACGCGAAAAACGCAGCAAGGGTGGCGGCGGCAGTACCCTCGCACTCCTCTGCACTTGCCACTTACCCTCTCGGCGTGCCGCCACGCTAGAGAGCATAAACCCAACCCTCAGAATAAACACCCCGACAAGCGAAACGTTTAGATGATGGGCCTGTTTTCCACCACCACCAAAAGTTGGAGGGGGAGGGGGTCCTCCTTCTCCTCCTCCTCCTCGTCCTCCTCCTCGTCCTCCGCCTCCTTCCCCCCTCCAACTTATGGTGGTGGTGGTGGTGGTGGAAAGCAAACCCCATCATTAAACGTACCCGAAGACGTGATCGAACGGGCCAGAGCTGTTCCGTTAAACGCCCAGGACCGTATGGTAAACGCCAATTATGGGAGTCGGGGTGGTTCCCCCTCCCTTGACGAAACTCGGCCATGAGCGAGGGAGAAATCGAAGAGGAGGCTTTCTCAGAAGGCGGCGGTGCTTCTGAGAACCCCTCCGGCCTTCTGAGACGTTTGCTGTCTTCGGGAAGGGCTCAGAATCTTCTCAGAAGACCAGTGGCAATCCGAACCTTCTGAGAAGGCCCGCTACTTCTCATTTCCCCCCAGACTCGCCGCCCGAGAATCGAGAACGGGGGGGCCTTGTCGTACTCCGTGTGCACCCGCTTCTCGAGCAGGGCCTCGAACTCTGCCTCGGGCCCAGCCTCGGGCGCGCTCCGGCGGTCGCCGCCGACCAGCGGCACTGCTGCGGCTCCTCGGGCTGCTGCCGCCTCTGCCCGTTCCTTCAGCGTTCAGCTCCGTCTGTGATCCGAGCTGGGTGACGGATGAGCGATGGCATGGCGACACTACGCGGTGGCTTTCGCGAGCCGCCAACGCGGCACGCCTCGGGCGTTGGCAGAACTGGGTTTAGTGGGACCTGGTTTAGTGATGTGTACGGGGCGACTCCCCCCCCGCCCCGCTCCAATAACAGGAACTGCCGTCACCCGAAAAAACACCAACTACATCAGACTTGGTTTAGTCGTTCTGGCAAATTTAGGGGCTCCGGGGCCCTACTACTAACCGGGTCCCCTCCGCCGCATATCAACTGGCGACTTGGCTGGATGGCGACTTGGCTGGAACATCGGACATCGGGTGGGCTAGTGCGACACAAGTGTGAGCCGTAGCGCTAGGCATGCGAAACCTGTGAAATGCGAGAAAAGACGTCAGCAGAGGCATGATGATGCACAGACGCAATGGAAGTAAACATAAATCAGCGGAGGCGCGGTCATATGTCAACGGCGACTTGGCTGTATGAGGGTTCGTATCGACTTCTGGAAACACCCGCCCTCACCGAGCGGCCTGCAATCGAACCGTCCTGCCCCTCCCACGTCGGCGGCGGCGGACCCCGCGCCAGGGGTGAGAGGGGGTAAGCGGCCTCCTCGTCCTGGAATTCGTCCAGGGGCCCCATTGCAGCGTCCTCGGGCTGAGGGGGGGGGGAGAGGGGGGCGCGGTGGAGCAAGCTGAGCAGCTCAGATCGAGTGCTCTTCAACGGGGGGGGGCAATAAACGTGGGGTGAAGAAGAGTGCACCCGTCGTGCACCTTTTGGGCCCGCCGTTGCAGTTTGGGCGCCTTGTAGGGTCTCTTCAGGGCCACTTCCCTGCCATTCTCGATCCCCAAGCGTTTCTTGTCCCTCCCCCCTCTGTTGCCGTCCGCCCGATCAGAGCACAACGTCTCGGGCCCCCCCGACTTCAACATCGCGCTCGGCTCATTGTCCTGGTCCCCCCCCCTAGGCAGACCAGCATCGGCCACAAAAGGGCACCCCTGGTTTACAGGAGCTGCGCTTTCCATGAGCAGATCTGCTCAATTCATGGCTTCGCGGCTTCGACTGCGATGTTGGGCGCGAGGGGGAAGATGGTTGTTCCCTCCACAGTCTGGTCATCTGCGGTTATGCTGGGAGACAGTCTCCTCTTAGCGACGAAGGGAAGGCAAGATTCAGTGACGACCGCGATCAGGGGTCTGGGTGGTCTCAGCTGCATCTCGCGTTTCAATGACCCCTGTGAACCTTCACCTCCTTCGCTTATCGAATATTTCTCCGCTCCTCCTGCTCCTTCTCTCCCTTTCTTCTCCCGATCCATTTCGCCCTCATGCCTTCTCTCGCGTTTTCCCCTCCCCTGACCCCTCCTGGAGTCAAAATGCTCAAGTTTTCCCAGCTGCGTCCAGTCAGTGCGACGAGGGGTCCCAGACGTGGATTCCTCCGGGGTCCCGAAATGCGTAGAACATGTGCGTTTGGGCCCGCCTGGAAGCCTTTTGGAACTTTTGGAAGCCTCTTTGGGGCCTCCCAGTGGGCATCTTCGGACATTTTGGGGCCACGTGCGCGACCCGCTTGGCATTCTGTCCAAGGCAAGAGGCATCAACAGACGCTGGCGACTTCTGCAAAGCGCCGCGCCCCGCGGGAAACGTTTGCATGTTGTCCGCGCGTCGTCGCAGCAGCGTCATCATGACGAGGGCCATGGCACACTGGTATGGCAAGACGACCGACACGCACGGAACGCTAGTCCTGCTCATGTGCATCCCATCGCGTACCGTCACAGGAACCGCATCATGATGATAAGGCCTGAGATGCGCCGGGAATGCGGCACGAGTGCCGTTGTCATGGCTGCAGGATCCTGCTGGCCCTCCAGGAGCTGACGCGCTGAGCTGACTGCGCCTCGCTGACCCCCGGGCGCTCCGACGGAGGAGGACGCGAAGGCAGCAGGTGGGCGGAAAAACAAGGGCCTGCCGTCACACCACAGGGACTGCCGTTGCGGCTCCTTTGCCTTCCTTGAGGCCTGCTCGGAAGATGTCCTGCCCTCGGAGTGCCCCCCCCCGTTCGCCCTGCTGTCTCCTGCGCGCGGGCGACGGCGCCGCCCGCAGACGGGCCGACCGCGCGAGAGCAGACGCATCGCAGCCCGCGGGGAGGGCGCGTGCCCAGCAAATCCTCACCTACTTCCCCGCAGTTGCCAGGTTTTGCCGTCGTTCGGACGGCCATTGTGCATTTTTCGGAATCGTGCGTGTATTTGTGCCGCACGGTGGAGAAACATGTTCCTCGCTGGTCCTTGCCAGAAAATGAACACGTCCGAACGATCTCAAACATTCGACGCGGAGGTGCCCACGTGAAAACGGAACCTTCGGGGACCGACGACGACAACGTTGCAACACAACCGCCGAGAATGTACACCATGTTGTCTTGCTTCAGCACCGATGCCAAAGACTGTGTAAGACTGTTCGGCCCACTCACGGGCCCTCTGGACGGAAGGCTGTTTACACTGAGATTTCGTGGTCGTCTCCCTTTCGGTGCCACAGCGGCAGAGCACTGCGATTCGTGTTTCGGACGGCACATCGCCTGAACTAACACCACGTTCTTCCGCACCGATCGTTTCAACATCTGGGTGTTCTCGGAACGGAAACCCCAGAACTCACCACACGACATCGCCAACCTTGCTGCGTGGCACCTGGCTGCTAGTGCTGCGTCCGAAAGTGCGCGGGCGCGTAATTTGCCCACGCCACGAAACGCAATGTGCTCCTGAATTCGCAGGCGGGACCCCCCAAGACAAATGCATGCATCAGGGTGCTCCTTGTTTCCTCCTCTTCCTTCTTGAAAGCAGAACAGGTCGCGCGCGCGCGTGTGCCCTGCACGAGGAGGGGGGGGTAACGAGGAGGAGGAGGAAGAGGAGGAGGAGGAGGAGGAGGAGGAGGCAGAAGAAGCAAGGAGGAGGAGGAGAAGGAGGAGAAGAGACAGAAGAAAAGGCACAGAGAGAAGAGGCAGGGGGATGGGGGGGGAGAAGGGGGAGGATAAGGTCTGAAGAGATGTTTTTCTTGCTATTTCTGATTTCGCTGGGGTGGGCGGCGGGGAGGCGGGGCCGGGCCTCGGAGGCCATGGCGGCGTCCTGTGAGTTCGAGGCCTGCGGACGGAGACAAAAGAGGGCCGCCGCCGCCGCAGGTCGTCGTCAATCGCAGTCGATCGCCGCCGTGCTGGCGTTTGAATGTCGGTTCTCCGCGGCTTTCCGACCTCGGTGTGCCGTTCCGCAGCTGCGCCTCGCTGTGAACGTCCCTGGCGTGCCAGGATCGTCCCGAACGGCCGATGCTATGGGGGGGGGAATAGGCTCAGGTGTGAAAGCAGCGACCCCGAATCGTCAATGCATCGCCGATGGGGGCCCGATGGACGGTTGACGCCGTGGCCCTCGCCGTCGTCGTCGGCCTGAGGGCCCCGAGATGCAGTTTTGGCCGCTCTGCGATCGGCAGTGGTACACAACAAGCACCAACTCACGGAGACACCCACGGATCTCTTGGGCCTTGGCGATACTATGCTGACTGACGGGACGCGCTCTCTCGCCAACCCGGTATTACCCCTGGTGGAGCATCTGGCCGCAGGGGGGGGGGCCTGTCCAGCATCGGGCGCGCCCTGCACCGCAAGCGGATGAGTCAGCAAGCGGCCAGGCAGATGAGTTCGGCCAAGAACGCGCTGGTCGGCTGTCTCTGGCCAATGGCGCGTCGTTTCGCAGAGGAGCGGCCGCTGGCGTCGTCGCCCCGGTGCCCTCGCGGGTGCATTGCACGCGGCACGGTGCGGCACCAGGCGTGGCAGCGCCCTGCCGCCGCGCCTGGCCGTGCAGAGTGGGAGGCCAATGACGACGCAGACGAGAGGAGGGCGCCCGACGACAACCACTTCGGGACCCTCGTCGACATGGCGAGCGCCGACGCGGCGGAGGGCCCGCTTTGGTCGAGGGCCCTGGCGCCCGAGCAT